ATGGAGCTGGAAAAGATCATGCTTAGTGAGATAAGCCAGAAAGAGAAAGAAAAATACCGGATGGTTTCACTCATAGCAGGAGTATAATGGACCGGTGAGAAAATAACAAAAATAATGAACAACCATATACCAGAACCATTTTGTGGGGGTGGAGTGGGGAATGGGATCAAAAACAGGGAAAATGGGAGGGGAGGGGGGAAAGGGAGGGAAATGCACGGGACTATGGAGGTGGCACACGGGTGATTTGGTGATGGGAAACCCACGGGGATTACAATCGAGATGAAAAAAAAAAAGTGCAAAATGATGTAAAAATAAACTTTTGTAATAATTAAATAAAAAAAAAATTCTACTCTGTGAAGCAAAGTAGGGAAACATCCTGAACTTAAAACCAAGAGACAAGATTCTAATCACAGATATCTTACTTTTGGTCTCAGGTATTAGTAAAATAAAGTATCTGGTCTCAGGTATTAATAAAATAAAATAACTTTCAGCATAATGAGGAAAAAACCTGGCCCCCTTTGCATACCACTCAGAAGAAAATATCAAGACCTGAATAGCCAAAACAATTCTGAAAAACAAACCAACAAAAAACAAATTTGAAGATCTCATTTTTCCTGGTTTCAAAATTAACTACAAAATTACAGTTACTAAAACAGTGTGGTATTTCATAAAGATAGCCATAAAGATCAATGCAATAGAAAGCCTGGAAATCTATCCCCATATATCTGGTCAAATGATTTTTGACAAGGATGATAAAACTAGTCAATGGGGGAAAGAACAGTATTTTCAAAAAATTCAATAAGTTGCTGGGAAAATATTTACACACAAAAAAAGGAAGTTAAATCCTTACCTAATAGTATATTAAGAATTGATTGGATTGTCAGAAAAGTCATTACTTATTTTTTTTCCTTGAAAGACACAGAAAAAAAGCATCATGATTTTTCTGAGAACACAATAGCTAAAAAATGGACCAAAGACCTAAACATAAGGCCTACAATTATAAAACTATTTAGAAGAAAACATACAAGAAAAACTTCACAACAGTGGATTTCGCAACAAATTCTTAGATATGACGCCCAAAACATAGGAAATAAAAAAAAAGATAAATTGGATTACATCAAAATTTGAAGCTTTTATGCATCAAAGGACCCTATCAGCACAGTGATAAGAAAACACACAAAATGGGACAAAATATTGCAAGTCATGTCTAGTTTGGCCTAATATCCAATGTATTAAAAGTTCCTATAATTCAACAGGTAGTTTGGGCAAACGACTGGGATATACATTTCTCCAAAGGTCATATAAAAATAGCCATGAAAAGATGTCAGCATTACAATCATTAGAGAAATATAAATTAAAACCATAATGAGATACTACTTCACATCTATTAGGCTGACCATTTTTTAAAAAACAACACAGGAAAGAAGTGTTGGTGAGAACATCGAGTATACTTCTGGTGGGAATGTGTCTAGGAACTAAGTGTGCAGAGACAACACGGTGGTTCATGAAAAAGTTAAAAATAAAATCAGTGTAAGTTCTAGTGATTCTACCTCTGAGTATATATCCAAAAGAACTGAAAGCATAAAATTAAATATTAATAGAATTATTCACAGTAATCATTCTATTGTCTACCACTCCAATCAATCAAAGTATCCATGAGAGGTGACTCGGTAAATATGTGAGTGACACATAGGTGAAAATTTTTCAACCTTAAAAAGGAAATAATTTCTGACACATGCTGCAACATGGGTGAAATTTGTCACTTATGGTAAGTAAAATCAGTCAATCACGAGACAAAAATGGATTATGTCACTCGTGTCAGTTACCTAGAAGAGTCAAGTTCAAACAAAAAAGCAGGGGGCTAGAAAGTGGAGGGAACAGGGAGTTACTATTTAGCAGGCAAAGAGCTCACATGGTATGGATGGCTGTGTGACATTGTGAATCCACTTTATGCTACTATATTATTTAAAAACTGCTGAAATGGTGAATTTTATGTTAAGCACATTTTACAACTAAATGTAAAAAATAAACAAAAATATCATCCTGAAGTAATGGGTGCAATTTTTATGGATTTTAATTGTCTACACTTCTAACTTCAATTTTGATTTATCATACCATTAATTTTTTATGCTTAGTCAATAAGCACTTCCATATTCCTGCAATTTGAGCCCTTGCAGCACTGGGAATCACAGCAACATCAAGTAAAGCCAACCCATTTCCAATCCATAGTCACAGACATAGCGTGGCCAACGGCTTCTCTTATCTCACCTATGTCAAGGATCCTGTCCCCGGGTCGGTTCCATCTCCAGCCCTCCAGTTGCTGGTGTTCAGTGTACTGTAGCCGTCTGTCATGGAAAACGACTCGGAATATACTCTAGAAAGAAGCACAGACATAATGGAATCTCTTAAAAAATAAGTCTGGCAAAGGTAAGCCAGCAGGAGTTACTCTTAATTTGGTTCCCAGACACAATCTGAAACTACTTTTCTTAAGATGTTTTACTCTAAAACCATACCCTATCGAGCACTATTTCCAGGTAAATGTTTTAATTGCTCAGTTAAAGTTAACTGGTAGTGTATTTAAAATGTGGCTTAAAACTTAACCCTGATGGTAACTACGCACAGGGATGCCTGTTAGAAGCATTTCTACATGCTTCTGTTGGCATGTAATATCCAGCTCATCTTTTCCTGTGCATGTGAGCACACTTACCAAGTCCCCTGCTTGTTAACCCACCTCACAACACGTAAATACTGAGAGTAGGTAGGGGGCTGCGTCCATCAACTTTTCTTTTGTAACTTACTTTATAGAGGTGCCTATGCATATCCCTCCCAACCTCTTTTACAGCTGCTAACCAAACTGCCCCAAGTGTGTTGGGGCATTAAAGTCATTACTGCCAGTCTAGACTGAAAAAAGTTATTCATCAATGGTCGCTTCTGTTTCCCAAAGAGACACTGGAACTTCTTTAGAGCGCTCAAGGAAATGACTTGATTCTACCTGAAATAAATAAATAAATAAATAAATAAATAAATAAATAAATAAATAAATAAACAAACAAACAAACAAACAAACAAACTCCGCTGAGCCAAGAGGCTACCCTGACTGGGTTGATAAGCTGCCTGTTTCTACAGCTCTGAAATATCCATATGACCCCACAGAAATAACACATCAGTTCACTGCAGTGCCAGTAAGTTGTGACAGGTTAAAACTAACACCAAGTTCCTTGCTATTTCTTTTTTTGCAGAAGAATATTATCCGGAAAGGGTCAGTGAAAGGATCTTGTGCAGAAGAATATTTCCTTTACCTTCACTAATTTGCCATTAATTTCTGGAAGTTCTCCAAGTTTTCTATTGTCAAGCATTCGAATTTCATAGGACTGTCCTGGAAGAAAAATATAATTACATATTAAATTCATTGCAAACTAAGTTTGCAAGATACAAAAATAATAAAATTCAGTCGCTGACTATACAAGGGTGTAATATTAGCAACAGCAACTGCAATCGTTTACTCTATGTTAGGTACCACACTAAGCATTTTCTTATCATTGATACAACTCCCTGAAGTTTTACAGTCTCACTTTTATGGATAGAGAATCTGAACCATAAAGCATTTGAACAATTTTTCCAAATTTACACAAACGGTAAATGATAGAACTGGGTAGGGGAAGACTGTTCAGACAGTAACCAATGTGGGTGTCTAAGAAATGTGGAAAGAGACAGGGACTAAAATGGACAGGCAGACAAAAGAAGCAAGTCACATGTATCACTGTGATACTAAACCCCGCTCTCGGAAGTAAGGTTTCAGTTTTAACAGGCACACTACAAAGGTGTATTTTTACACTTAATAAATGATCATGAACCCATAGGTCTGCCATAATACTGGTGAGTAAGGAAGCAGCCAACCTTGATTGAGATATGTTAGGGTTTCATCATGTAATTTCACTGCTGGTGAGGTAGCAGCACAAAGCACATATTGAAAAGGTAGGATTTTATTCTCATTATCAGGAGGCAAACTTGACTCTTCTTGCTTGAAAATGGGCAATGCGAGGACATCACTGGAATAGAACAAATGACTTATATTAACATCTGACAATAGTACAAGAACAGATTGCTGCTGAAATAATTTAACTTCAGTCTGCCTTGGAAAAAAACATAGCCATTACTTCCCACTTGTTTGGTTCAGATTACCTACTCTGATACCGCCTTGACCACAACAATGTGGACAGTGAAAGATACTCACTGCTCAAGATACCTACGTGTTCAAAGAAGTAGTTTTGCTATTGTTTTTAAGAATCAGACCAGAGTTCCTAAAAGGGCTTTGTGTATTATATGCAGAATTCCAAAATGTCCATTTAGGATACTAAGTGATGTATTTATCCCCTGAAAGGCACCAACTGTAATATCTTTATAACCACATCAGCTGATTTATTCTAAAGGCTAGTCAAGAATTTTTAAAGGCTCATGAAAAAATACAAATCAGGCCCTCCCTGGAGAGACAAAGGGTTAAAGTGCCAGCACTATGAAGTTATGGGCAGCTACTGCCAGGGAGATGACCCATGTGTTGAGGCAGACTTCTCCTGTCTCCCCACTGCTCCCCTCAGCAGTGTACTTTGTTAGTCAGCCCGTTCTGCTCCCCATTCTATCTCCGGTGAATCCTCTCACCACCCCTGCACCTCTGGCCTGTACCCCAGTTCTGTATGCATAAATAAATAACTTTAAAAAATACAAATCAATAACAGAATATATTTCAAGGTCAGGTAATATTCTGATAATAAGATATCACCATCAGCTACCTCCTCTAAGAAAAAGATTCTTATAACCTTATAAGTTTATTTAAGCTTGCAAATTAAAGAGACCTATTGAATGAATTCAAGTACTATGCTACTCATTCTGTGAAGTTCTGGACCAAGTTAAAATGTCCTAATTTTTAGTCACTAAAACTTTAAGCAAGCTCTCTTGAGTCTTCATTTATAAAATGGGAACTACATTTGCATCAAGAGTGGCTATATGAGGAAGCATTTGGGAAATCATAAGGATGCACAGAACTAACAGTGACTTTTTCTTTCCAACTCTAGCCAGGGAAAGCCCAACTGCAGCCATCAGTGGGAAAGATGATCCTGAGCCCCAGATTCCTATGGTCATAATCAGGATTTACCGCAAAGCAAATTTTAAAAGGATCTTAAAGAGATGCACCAAATTGAAGGGTATTTCCCATGATCTCAAGACATGCGATAAAGTCTCACAACACATTTTGTGGAGGTGGAGTGGGGAATGGGATCAAAACAGGGGGGGGGGAGTGCATGGGACTATGGTGATGGCACATGGGTGACTCGGTGATGGGAAATCCACAGGGATTACAATTGAGATGAAAAAAGAAAAATGTACAAAATGATGTAAAAATAAACTATTAAATTTTTTAAAAATTAAATTAAATTAAAAAAATAAGTCTCACAACAAAATGTATCTCAACAGACTATGCATAGATGTGCACTAGACCAGCTACAGTGAGAAGGAGAACACAAGTGTTGGTAAGGATATGGAGCAACTAGAACATTCTCATCCTCCGCCAGTGGGAATGTAAAATGACACAACTACTTTAGAAAAGGTTTGGCAGCTTCTTATAAAGTAAACATGCATTCTGCCCATTTGACCTAGAAATTCTCATAGGTATTTAGCCAAGAGAAAAAAAAATTCAAGTCCACCCAAATACTTAAACATGAATATGCATTGCATAAAAGCAAAAAGTGAAAAGCAAAAAGAATCTAATGTTCTTGATTAAGAGGATGGATGCACAAACTGGTGTATTCATAAAATGGAATACTATTCCGTAAAAGAATTGCAACAACAGTGGCTTCCTGGAAGCGCAAGGATACGACAGGGAACTCTCTCTTAGGACATAAAAACAGCTAATACTTAGTCTGTGTGTGGATTTCAGCAGAAATGTGTGCATGTAAATGTATATAAATTCTGGGCCTCCCTGGTGACGCTGGGGTTAAATCTCAGCACTGTCACCACTGTAGCTGCCAGGGAGCTAAGGAACATACAGCTGGCCAGCCCTCTCCTATCTCACCTGCGGCTCCCCTCAGCGGTGGATTTCAATCACTCTGCCTGGTCTGCTCCCCACTCTGTCTCTAGTGATTTTCTCACACCCCACTCCTCTGGCCTACACTCCAGTTCTTCTACACAAAAAATAAATTAAAAAAATTTTTAAATTCTTGTTGGAAAACAAAATAAGAAGCAAATATTCTGATTATTGACCTAAGAATTCCAATAGATGTGATTAAAAAAAAAATGTAGCTAAACTAGGAAAGGAGGTAGGGGGAGGAAAGAAAGAAACTTCTCTTTCTGCTAATGTCTAAGTAGCGCGGCTATGTCACTTCATTGGATCCAGGCGGCCGAGATGCAAACAGGGATGTTATGAAATACAGGGTTTGTGTTGCCAAAAAAGTAATTGAAAGGGCAGGAACAACACACGTGCTCTGCTCACAGGGGTAGGCTGGGTGAAGAAGGTGGGGAAGCCTTGCTGTCCGTATGAGTCAGGTGACATACATTATTGTTCACTTGAGACTATTCAAGGCTGCAGAAACATGGGGTTTTCTAGAAAAGTACTGTGTCCCAGCTCTCTCATTTCTCAAAATAAGGACATAACACCACTCCCACAGCAAATAGGATGAAAAAGAAAGCAAAGCCACTACAAAGCCGAGAAACATGACATTACTCTTCGGCACCATGTCATCCTCAAGCACATCGCCTCTGATGTTTCCTTGAAAGATTAGTGAAGATTATCAGGAATCAAGGCAAACTGGATTTCTGCAACATAGCAACAGCACAACGTTTACAAAGGGAGGATGTATTTTCTTCTCCTCAAATGTCACTGCCTAGCAAGGTTAATACAGAGCAACAGCTCGTAGTGTTCAGTATAACGTGGCAGTGCACCGAACCTCGAGACGAAGCAAAGCAGTGTCATTTGAGGCTCAAATTCTAAAACTGATTCTAAAAGTCACTCCTAAAATTAACTCACAACCATACAGCCAATCGAAATGCATAAAATTATATTTTCCGATAAGAGATTTTAAGCTCTAAGCACTCAAATATATCTGAGTTGCTGTTCCCCTGCATTTCTTGTATACTGTGTGGGAGCAAGAGCGCCTTTCCACTCAGTTGCTAGAGGCAAAGGGTAAAGGTCAGTGGTTAACACAGTTCCAAGCTCTTGCTTACACTGGAACAACAAATTCACGGACGAATCGATTTCAGAAATACAAGTCTGCTCCAAACCGCGTAGAGACTAGAGTCCCTGTTGCCGTCCACGCTAAGTAGTTGTTATCAATGTGTAATTTAGTATCTTATATTCTCATTGCTTCTTGTATTTAACTCATTCCAATAAAACAGGCCATTTGAAGAGTAACTTCTCTTTTATGTGCTTAGTAAATACTTGTAAATATGATTTGTACTTTCATTTGGCTGAAGCGCTAGTGTATCATAATCATTTTGAATTCTTGACATCTCACAGTGTCTCTGATCAAAATAAGGATGTCGAAATCTTACCTGCTAAAAAGATAAGCTGAGTATATGTTTAAAATGTGGTGCTTGCTTCTGCCAACACATATACTAAAATTGGAATGACAAAAGGTAAGCATGGGGCCCTCCCTGGTGGCCCAATGGGCTTAAGCACAGCACTAGGAAGCTGTACACAGCCACTGCAGTAACAGTTCGATCCCCAGCCAGGGAGCTGACCCACATGGCCAGCAGACCTCTCCTGCTTTATCCACTGCTCCCCTCAGCTGTGGATTTCAGTAATCTGCCTGTTCTGTTCCCCCTTCTGTCTCTGGTGAATCCTCTGACCACCACCCACCACCCCCAGCACCTCTGGCCTGTACCCCCGTTCCTGTATGCATAGATAAATAAATCTTTAAAAAAAAAAAAGATGGGCATGACCCCTGCACAGAGATGACATGAGAGTCTATGAAGCACTTCATGTTTAAAAATAAAAAAATGTACTCCACTGAGTGGAAACACACCTCAAAGTGGCCGCATAGCAGAAAGCAATTGAGAGGAAGTAACAGAGGCACAGAAGCAAAGATCAGGAGAGATCTTCCCTGGAGAGCGGCGTTATGATCCCCTGAGTTATAAATTACCCTTCTGAGGTAGAGCATCCTTCAGAATGGTCTCTCTCAATTCACAACTAGGACTTAAACATTCTCAGGCCAATCTTCCAGCTGCTGGGTGCGCTCTCTGCAGAGAGCTTAGACAAGGGATAGGGAGAGGTGCCACGAACCTAAGCCTGAGCAGACAGGTAAACCGTAGACAGGTATACCCACAGCATCTAAAGGAATTAGAAATGAATTGGGGACAACAGGTACCATGGACTGCACACTTCCCTGTTTGTAACCCTCATTAGGCCCCCACCAAGATGACAATGAAACATCTGAAACAGAGCGCGCCGACACCCCCATACTAGCTGCCGCACAAAAGCTCAAGAACAGTACTCTGAGTCAGCTCCCAAAGAAAAAATATCCAGGGCTCCCTGGTGGCGTAAGGGGTTCAGCCTCAGCACCAAGAAGATATCACAGCAGCTACAGTTCCATCCCTGGCCAGGGAGCCGGCCCGCATGGTGTAGCCTCTCCTGACCTGCCTGCTGCTCCCCTCAGCAGTATTTCAGTGGATCTGCCTGTTCTTCTGCTCCCACTCTGTCTCTGGGGAATCCTCTAACCCCCTCCCCACTTTCTTGCCCCTCTGGCCTACACCCCAGTTCTTGAATGCATTAAAAAAAAAAAACTTCAAAAAAGAAAAAATTCTACTAAATAACTGGTTGTAATATCTTTAAAGAGAGGAGAGTGGATTCATTATTTGGGATTTGTGAGAAGGCTGGAAAGGGAGCTCAGAGGGGAGAGCTGGCTGGGACAGATGTCCCGGCAAGTTTTAACATGAAACCAATTAGATGTCCTGAGTAACAAGTAGAGGTAAAATTGGCTTATGTTCCTGGTTAGGAGCCCTCTGTCACTAAAAGTGAGGACAGTTCTGTTACCTGAACATCAACAGAAAATATCATTCAACT